ATCGCGGCATTCAAATGGGCCAAGACACGCGGGCAAGCAGTGGCCTTGGCTATCGAGTGCGCAGGCAGTGCAACGGCACCGTGGCCCACGGGCCGGTCGGAGTGACACCAGGCACCGGGGCTACGAGGAGCAATTTGACAGGGGACTATAACTTAATTCCTTTGCACCAGGGGCCCATGCCAACCAGGTGACGCTCCCGCTGCAGGCAGGTACAGGGAGAACAGTCCCACGTCACTCTGGCCAATGAGACTCCTTTGCAGAAGTGACTAGAATCAGCATCTTTGTTGAGACTGCAGCAGGAGGAATCTGATGAGATATGAAGCTCTTTTTCCTTCCCCTCACAGATGTCCAGTACGGGGCGGGTCGGCAGGTTTACAATAGCAAAGAATGAAACGACAAACAACGAATGTGCAACATAGAGAAAATGCTAAGCAAGTCACTAAATATAAATAAATAAGATATACATTAATTCATTTAATGAGTCCGATTTTTTTTCCAAATTGGGTAAGGCAGCAAAAACAACAAAACAGTCCCAGGCCACACCAACACCAAAGAAATAACGTCAAACAGAATACAACAATGAAACAAAATCAGAGCAAAAACAACCGACATCAAATGTGGATGTCATAACCATTTTAATATATTTCAAACCCATTATTGCTCTTTTATTGATGAGATAACGATATTGATGCCACTAAAGTGTTGCCACCTGTTAGGTGGAACCAGATTTAGGTCTGGTCCACTGACCAAATCCAGGTCCTGATCATCATCATGATCATCATCATCATCATCACTGTCATCATCACGATAACCATTTTAAATAACCACCATCATCATCACAACCATCTTCATTATACCCATCAGTATTATCATCATCATTAAACCCACCACTACCGTCATGATCATCATCACCACCCAGTAGTTCATCGCCTAAGGTTTGTACACATTTTGGGGGGGGGGGTGGGGGGAGGGCAAACTCTCCTGCTCGGGGTATCCTTTTGTTGGGGGGTGGGGGTCAGGTGTGGGGTAGGGGGTCAGGTGTGGGGGGTTCAGGTGTGGGGTAGGGGGTGAGGTGTGGGGGGGTGAAGTGTGGGGTGGGGGGTGAGGTGTGGGGGGCGTTCCATCGCCTAAGAGCCCAGAGGCAAAATAGCTTAAGATTCCTGGCCATGTAAGGTCTCCGTCTCTCTCCCACGCACCCACTCCGGCAGAATGAATCCACATTGCACGGCCCTAAACAGACAGATCCCCCCTATAGCCTTCACAGACCTTTTGGGGCAAGTGCTGTCTGTGAGCACCTGTTAAGGCCGGGACGGCTCACGAGATGTTGGGTGGCCGACACCACGCCCGACAACCCGCACGTGTCTTCCGAGTGCCGATGTTTACACACCGCGCCAGTTACCTATTTAATGCTGAGTCGACCTATAAGGAGGTTCAGGATTGGTTAAGTTAGGCGTTCCCCGGGTTTTTAGCCCAGTGAGTTAACTCATATACAAGCTTGTATACAAACACACGCTCGTACACTCACAGACCCACACTTTTATACACACTCGTATATAAACACATACCCTCATATGCAATAAAAGTTCTGTTAGCGAGCACGTATGAATGCTGACGCATGGTACCCGAGGGAGTGGGTGGCCACCACCACGCCCGGCCGCCTTTGTCTCTCTCATGGCGATATTTACACATCGCACTAGGTGCTCGTTCGTAACGTAGCTCGCTCATACATACATGCATGCATACAGACATTATCAAGTGGCGGTGACGTCACCACGTCGCCTGTGCCAGGCTAGGTGCACTTTGAGGCCACCTGAGGTGTCGAAGGCCCACTTGCAGGAGGTCACGGGACAGAGCCAGGTGCCATGGGTTTATTGACTGAGAAGACTGGCAGATGTACCAACTGTGCTCCCCACTTTGCCAATTTTCTGCGTTTTAGCCGCCCGGCGCTCCACTCATTGTTGTGAGCGTCGCTGCTCTCCCCTCCATTGTTGCTGGAGGGCGACAGCCTCCAACTCCCTAGTAGCAGCGTCCTTCACGAGCCTCCTCCACAGAGGCCGATCTCGACACTGCTGGTGCAAGTCATCGGCAAGTCCAATCAGCTCCACATTCTTCTGTACCACATCAGTTCATCTCTTCTCTCGCCCGTAGCCGTGCCCGTTTAGCCTCATCTAACCGGCCAAACAGATGCTGCTTGGGCATGCGGTGGCTGGGAATTCGGGCTACATGACCCCGCCAACGCAGCTACAGCTTGTCGGAGAAGCTAGCTGGTGGGACTTTGTCCAGATCCTTCAAGGCTCTGTAAGCCCAGTCTGGCTAAACCCAGGATGGATCGTCGGCAGGCTAGTCTGAGTGTTTCAAACGGGCGCAAATGTTCCTTACGAGGTCTCAAAGTCTCGCAAGTATAAATAAGGGAGGGCATAACTGTGGCCGAGAAGACCCGGAGCTTTGTTTGAAGGGACATGCCAGGTAGCTATCGCACAGCGTTGTGCAGCTCATGAAACGATAATTCCGCTCGACTGATTCGGAGTGAGATTTCGGTTGCCAAACCGGAGCCGGTCATAAGCACACTGCTCAAGTACGGAAACTTCTCCACTCTCTCCACAACTGTCATTAAATCCGCACACACACGTGCAATTACATTGCTCTCGTACAAACACGCGTGCACACACGCACACACTATATACACACACTGTCACCCACACATGTATAAACACATCGCAGGAACTCACTCACGTACAAAGACAAAGATCCGCGTATAGCGTCAACATACTGTTGGGGCAAGTGCTGTTAGCAAACAGCGCCTATGAAGGCCAGCACGGCACAAGAGAGGTCGGTGGGTGGCCAGTACAGCACCACGCCCGGCCGCTTTTGTTTCTCTTGTGGCGATGTTTACACATCGCACCAGGTATTCATTTGAGGCTGGCTCAGGACCGGTTCAGAGAATCGTCACCGCATGATGTTGGGCCGTGAGCGGGAATCGTACTTGGATCACCGGGGTTCGGAGCGTAGTGTGCACGCTAACCCACAATTACACTCGCGTGTAAACACACCGCACTGCACTCTCTCTCTCTCGCACACCCACGCACGTAGCTTCTTGCACGCCTTCTTTTGCAAGAAGCAAGAATCTTGATGGGAGGGGGGAAAGGGGGTTCGGTGGAGGAAGTTTTCCCACAGTTGCTGAGCAATGGCCCAAATCGCCAAGCGGCCAGTAACAAACATCACTTATTTATTAAAGTTGTCAAATTTTACGAGCTGTAACTCGTTAAAAGTGTCTTCGTGTAAGCAGCCATTGGAGAGCACCTATTAAGGCCGGCGGTGTCGCACGAGCGATGGGGGGAAAGTACGAGCCCCGTGTTGATGACAGAGCGACTCGAGATACATCTACGACGACGCGTACGTGTAAACCTGACGAAAATTGCGCGTGGCACGAGAACGCGGACGAAGAGTGGAAGTGCGCGGCGCCGGCGTGTGTGGGGACAGCTTCGCTCAAATACGGCGGAACTATTAACAGTTTGCTAAGAGTCAAGGTCAAAAGGTCATCACGGCCAATGCCGTTGATGCCACCACACAGCATACAATGAGACCCATCCCCGGTCTCCTTTGGGTGAAACGAAATGAACGTGACCCTTAAGCGATCAGCGTGGCGACGAATGCATGGTCCAACAACCTCCATGAGCGGCACTGGCATCTGGAAGGCCCCGAGCCAGCTGCGGATTGCCAAGGGGGCTACGAAGTTGCTATAATTGAAGGGAAGTTGTATTTGGCCAGGCGCAGAGACAAGTCTGTGCGGGAAGGGGCTGGGCTGCTGTACGGGAGAGCGAGTTATTCCCATTCCTGTGGCTTCTCCGCCCCCATTACCTCCCAAGTGTTATGTATTACTTTATTCTTTTTTTTAATCGAGGATTTACGTTCATGCCTCCCTTTTTCACGAAGTCAAAGCGCCGCATTCAGCGTCAGCCATGGTCAATCCACTGCTGTATGAAGACCTCCACAAGTTTTCTCCATCCATCATAGGTTCCTGCGATGCCACGATCCATGTTTCCTTTCTGTGCAGGAAATTATCTCGGTGCCGGTCGTCCTCCGGGAAGCGTTTCCCTCCTTTGGCAGTCATTCAGTCACTAGTCTCGTGCATCAGACATCATCATCACCACCACCATCACTTATATCCATGATGTGTCCTGCCCAAGCCTACTTTTATTGACAGTCAATGGAATGTCTATATTATGATCAACGTGGAACAGCTCTCTGCGTCCCAGTGTCATTCACAGATTGAAGATCTCTCCCTCTTCGCATATAACTACGTATTCAGCTTTAAGTCCGTGTTTCTGATTCACACATCATAGCGGGTTCATATAAAATGAATAGATACGTGATCTGTATCGATACACTTAATTATATGCAATTAACTGTGTTCATATATGTTTTTGGCATGTGCATCTATACACGTGTGTGGAGCGGTAGTGCCGTGGTTGGCGCGCTGTGGCACGGACTAGGTGGCCGAGTTCAATTCCTGTTCACGGCAAACGCCAGTCACGATTTTTTCAACCGGTAGTGGGCCTCCCCGAGGTCGACTCAGCCTCAAATAAGTACCTGGTGGGTGTGTAATCAACAGTGATGTGGAGACAAAGGCGACCAGGCGTGGTGCCAACAGCACTTGCCCAAACAGCATGTAAGAGGCTATAGGGGGGATCTTTGCCTTTGGAGCGTGTGTGAATGTGGGTGGTGCATCGATCTGCCAGTCACTCTGGGCGGTTACTCCCCAACACTTTTGTCTGTCTCGTGACTTCGCCATTTCACGTGGCCTGTGAGTGCACCCAGCCTGGCACGAGCGCTGCGGCGACATGACTACCCACAGTAAGAGCGGACGGCCGCTGTTGTGCGCACAGTGTTCTTGTCAGGCCGCACGGTGTCTCCATGCTCAGGTGAGCAGTGGCCGTGAATGCCATTCGCGGCCCTGAGCCACTGGTGGAAATGTCACGCTCCTTTCGATTCTTCTGCAGGTCCCTCCATCGTGACGCCACCTCGCATCGTGTGGAACGTGACGGGATCGCAGGTGTACCTGAGCTGCGAGGTCATCGGCATCCCCACCCCGACCCTCACCTGGAACAAGGTGTGTTGGCCACTCACCTACTCAACTGCACACCCAACCTGCCTGCACACGACACTCATCTACGACGTCGAGTACACTCGTCTGTGAATACTACACTCACTTTCACTAAACCATTCATCACATTTTGGCCTGTGTCCTGCCCACACCCTGCACTCACTTAAATTCGCACTCTCTACTGATTCCACTGTGTGGAGTTCCAGACTTAGGGGGCAGCAGAGGACAATGGGCGACCTCCCACTGAGCAAACACAATTTATAGTGCTGGAGTGGAGCGCATGTGGAGAGTAGAGAAGGGAGGGGAGAGAGAGAGAGTGTGTGGAGGGGAGTAGAGTGAGATAGGAGGGAAGAGGTAGGCGAGTGCGTGGAGGGGAGTAGAGTGAGATGGGAGGGGAGAGGGAGAGAGTGCGTGGAGGGGAGTAGAGTGAGATGGGAGGGAAGAGGTAGGAGAGTGCGTGGAGGGGAGTAGAGTGAGATGGGAGGGGAGAGGTAGGAGAGTGCGTGGAGGGGGGTAGAGTGAGATAAGAGGGGAGAGGTAGGAGAGTGTGTGGAGGGGAGTAGAGTGAGATGGGAGGGGAGAGGTAGGAGAGTGCGTGGAGGGGAGTAGAGTGAGATGGGAGGAGAGAGGTAGGAGAGTGCATGGTGGGGAGTAGAGTGAGATGGGAGGAGATAGGCAGGCATAAGCGAGTCCATGGAAGATCCTGAAGAAGGAAACTGCGATGTTGAAATTCGATCCGGTATTGGAGTGGGAGCCAGTGGAAGGATTGGCATTCTGGACTCGCGCACTGCGGCCGTTCGACATTATAATCTGTCTGGGTGTGGCCAGGGTGCCTGTGTGCGTGCGAGAGCAGCCCGAATTTCGTAATGACTCACGCACTGAGTGGGCCCATCCACAACAAGGGCCCTGTGTTACATGCCGACAACAACCAGACACAGCGTTGAGCAACTTAGAGAGGTCAGATCGAACCCTGCCCAGCGTGGGAAACTCAAGCCAGAGCCCCCCCTACCCCCCCACCACAAACCGCCAGGGCAGTCGCTAAGTTGGGATAACAGCGCAGTGTGAGTGAATGAGACCAGCGTGGGTGGTGCTGGTGGATTGTGTACGGATGCGAGGTCTGGTATTGTCATGTTCATTATAATCATAACTTCCACCACTGTTGTGATCATCACAACCACCACCATCATTATCTTCAACATGATCATCGCAACCACCACCATCATTGTCTTCAACATTATCATCACAACCACTACTACTGCCATCATCGCAACCCCCACTACTGTCATAGTCATCATCACGCTCATCATCATCGTTACCAACATCACTACTGTCATCATCATCTAACGATACAGGTCTCAATTCAAGACCACTGATTATCGTCTACAAATTAACAAGCTATGAACTAAATGAATGATTCACAAGAGCTACAATGCGTACAATGTGAATGTGGTCAGTATTTTATTTAATTTAAAAGCATTTTCCAAATAAATAAATGCGGTCAGTATGAAGCCAATTATTTCCAATAATTACCATTCAACTATTTTCACACAAAACAGTAGAAACTGAAATGCATTAAGTCAATTAATAAAAAAAAAACATTATTTAAAGCAACAAAAATAAATAGGGGGCCCGTTATGCAACTTTGGCCAAGGGCCCAGCAAGAACTTGGACCGATCCACGTCGGGTTTCGCGGTCACGCTCCGTGCCGGGGAGCGAGTCGCATTCGGCACCAGCCAGCGACGTCGTCGCGACAGCTGTGACACCGAGAGGTCATCGTGGCCGGCGCTGATGCCACTGCACGTCACCTTCGCTTGCTTCTTGCCTTCTGCGAAATCCTGCAGCTGTTGAAATCGACATAATGCAGTGCACATACAAATGTGGATTTATACAGCGGAGTATAAATGGCACTGCATCTCAAGACGCAGAGGCTTTTGCAGAACCATCGAACAAAGACGGTCACTGCATCGCGCGCATTCAGATGCGCTTCTGCGGCTGTCTAGAATGCTCTTGCTTCCGATATCAAGAAGCCACAGGAGCTATGCACTATTAATTATAAATTTTAAACTATTTTCTTGAGAACTTCTTTTTGTGTTCGTTTTTTGTTCTTCTCCCGCACCTTCCATTAGCACGGTTGGCTACGTACAGTGCAAACGAAGCTCAACATCCATAGTTATTTTACAGAGAGGGGTAAAAAATAAAGGTATTGAACCTGCTCTTGAACACAGAGGCAGGGAGTCTACAGCACGGACGGCTGGGAGGGATGGGAGTCCCAGCTGATGAGGTCAGCAGACAACGAACGATCTCCCACGAAGCCCAAAAACACACAACTTAAAATAACAAACAGAACTTTAAATTAATCGCGACGTATTTATACTGCAAAGTGCCTTGGAGTGACTTTTTGTGAATGGGGCTCTCTAAGTGAAGTTTTATTGTTATTGTCGATAGGCCTGGCAGGGCCCTTCTGATAGATTAGGCGTGATTAGCCAATTGAGTCAATGTAAACGAATGAGTAAAATGATCAAAGTTACATCGACTGTTGTACTTCGTCTGTGGCCCTTTTTACAAATTGGGGCCACCCCTTCATAAGCCACGGCCAGCACAATGCAGCTGGTGACGTCACCAGGCACCACCCATCACCTCCCGTCCAGCGTCACACGCGAGAACGGAGGGTGAGACCTTTTTTTCCCCAGCACTCTCCGCGCTCTCAGTCGAGCAATGCTGACGACGATCGGTAGAGCATTCCATTATGGCACTTACATAATTGGCTATCCCATCTCGACTTGGAATACTCACTGCCCATTACCTCATTCGCATTTTTGCTCCTAATATTACTGCCGTTTCCGCTTAGCTACGGTACCAGGCGCCCATGAGAAATAACCCGCTCGTGGGTGATTCATTCGTGGCAGACTTGTTCCACTTAGGTCACTGCCACCGACATATTTACTGAGAGACCGTTGCTGTGCCAGGGACTATGGTGGTATTTTAAGCGGTGGGAATTTTGTTCAAACAAGACGATTTGTGTTCTTGCATGCAACACGATTGCCCTCCAATCTGGACTCAATCAGAGAGGGGCAGAGAGAGACAGAGAGGTGGGGGGGAGGGGGGAAGAGAGAGCGGGAGAACTTCGTCAAGTTCTTAAATCTAGAACAGAGGTTGCTTGACCCTGGGGAACAGTGGTTGTTTCTTAGGGGCTGCTGGGAAGTTGAGGAGGGAGCGGGGGGGCACGGTACAGGGAGGATTTTTGCAAAACAACAGCATTTGCGGAAGACTCAACCAAAGTCAATTCCCTTTCGTAGGCCTCGATTACAACATCTAAAAATTGCGCACTTCCAGAACAATCGGAGCCTCAGTTCAGACACAGTGGCAGGCTTGTGCTGGAGGCAAACTCGGTCATCGTTTTGTCCTCTAAGTCGTGATGGGGGTCAGTCAGTTACACGGTTCGCATTTTGGTGTGGGGAGTGAAATGAAAATAGAATCTTATGCTCAAATAATCAATTGTTTACAATTCGTAAGCAGTTGTTTTTCTAGGTTTTTTTTTAAGCCGCTATAGATTATTTTACCCGATTCTTTTCCACTGCAATTCATATCATATACGTAGATTTGTCAGCGTCACATAATTATAAAGAACATCCAATTAATTCCACTTCGCTGTAGATGATTTCACATATCACGATACACTCTATATAGCGTTATACAGACAAACTAGCGGGAAGTACCCGGCGTTGTCCGGGTCCAAATTTTTTTTCAAACCTACTCTTCAAAATCGAACAGCAGTGCATACTGACTGTGGTGGTACCTGCTATGATTACAGCAGTGCATACCGACTGTGGTGGTACCTGCTATCACTACAGTAGTACATGCTGACTATATAGCAGTACTTATCGACTCTATAGCACAAAGTATCCAACTGACAGAGTGGCGTGGTGAGGCCTAGTCCCGTGCAGAGCCTCCGGTCTCGCCTATATTGTCCAGCTGGCCGAGGTGGCACCTTGGCAGGCTGGGGCTGGGCTGCTAGCCCTGACCTCCCCCCCCACCCAGCCACGATCTCCCCGGCCGGTCTGCAGTAATATCTACGCCCTATAGTGGTAGCATCTAGCGACTGTATATAGTAGTAACTGCACACATCGGGGTGGGCGGGGACAGTGAAGAATTTACCTGAGCGTTTAGTATATTTTAATAGCATTTTTAACGCAAAAGAAAATGTCCCCCTCTCTTCCACCAAAGGCGTGCGACTTGGCATGAGCCCCCCCCCACCAAAGGCGCAGGCGCGTGAGTTGGTATGGTCGTGCACGCGCCATAAATAATTAAATAAAAAGCTAGCGCACATAAATCGCACAAAATTGCTAATTAAACAAATTTAAAGTTAACAGATGTGAAAAAGGAATAGCGCTTGGTCACGGCGGGGCTTGCGGTGTGGTACCTGGCTATGTTTTTTACGTGAACACCACCGTTGGAGAGCCAAATAGTTTGCAAGCGCGCGACCACAAACAAACCCACACACAAACCCACAATTTTTAACTTATATATAGATAGATATCCCCCGTATAGCCTTGAACAGACTGTTGGGACAAGTGCTGTTAGCGAGCACCTATGAAGGCTAGAACGGCACACCAGGGGGTGGGTGGCCAACATCACGCCCGACCGCCTTTGTCTCCCCAGTGGCGATGTTTACACATGTTGACACATCGCACCAGGTACTCATTTAAGGCTGAGTCGACCTACGGGAGGGCCATGACCGGTGCAGATAATCCTCACTGGTGGTGGCCTTGAGCAGGATTCGAACATTGTATTGCTTCATTGCGCGACAGACACAATGAAACGTATTCTCACAGTCAAGGTCGGCGGTAGCGCTTGCGGTTTGCATTCGGAATGTTGCGAGTTCAAATCTTGGCTGCGGGTTGGCTCAACTCATCATCACTTGGTGATCGATAAAACGAGTACCACTTTGTGGAGATCATGAATAGACCCACTGCCATAGGAATATGGAATTTTGCGCCACTGGCTTA